ATGGGGTGCCTGTGAGACAACTGTGAATATAAGCAGAGAGGACAAAGCCAAGGGGGCTTTTAGGGGTGTAATGTAATAGGAAGACAAGAAGATAACATCCTAGTAGTCAGACCAGCTGTTATATAGTTTTTGGTGACCTCATTTCTCAAGAGCTTGAAAATACTTAATTTGAGTTGTTAGGTAAGTAGATATGAAGGAAAACAAATGTGTTGTATGGGAATGTTTCAGGAAGCATAAGGACTGAAATTGACTTCCTCTTTTCTCTTTTCACTATGCTCTGTTTACTTACTATATGTTGGTGTTACGCAGAGTTTTAAAAATAGAGAGATGAATGAGACACACATCTTGTCTTTCCCTCCTCATCCCCCAATAGAATTTAGTCTGGTGTCAAATGAAGACAAGAAAAGAACAATGACTCTGCAGAGAGACAGGAATTACTATATAAGGTAGCACAGAAGCTGTGACTACAGAGAGGAGAAGCCTTTAACCAGGGCTGAGAATGGCCTCAGGAAGGCATATGGGACAAAGGATGTTTGGGTAGAATGTGAAGAAGTAAAATGGATCCCCTGAGCTTCTAGTAAAAGGAGAAAAGCTTTTCAAGTGCGTAAAGAACCCATGAAAAGAATAAAAGCCCGGAGCGCATGGAAGCTTCAGGAAACTGCAGATGCATGGTGTCCCCAGGGCCCAAATGTTATGGTTTAAATAGGGATGCCCCACCTAAGACTCATATATGGAGGGCTCAATCCCCAATGTAGCCGTGTTCAGAAGTGAGGCCCAGCAGATGATTAGATCACAAGGGTGCTGACCTCATGGATGGATTAATTCTCCAATGAGTTCATTTACTGAGTGGACTATTTAGGAGGTGGAGCCAAGTCAGAGGAAGTAGCTCACTGAGGCATGCCTTTGAAGGGTGTGTATGGTCCCTGACCCCCTCCTCTCTGGCTATTTCCCTGAATCTCTCTTCCTGGTTACCATGAGGTAAGCAGCTTTCCTTGGCCATGTCTTTCTGCCACGGTGTTCTGGCCCAAAATAATGGGGGTGGTAGACCATGGACTGGAACTTCTGAAACCATAAGCCAAAATAAATCTTTCCTCTTTCAAGTTATTTATGACAAGCATTTCATCATAGTGACAAAAAGCTGACTAATATACCAGGGCACATGGCAAAAAGAGGTAGATGAGATGACAGAACAGAATTTTGTCAAGATGATTCAATTTAATTTGGCAGCTGAGCCTTTCACCAAGAGTGTCCAACATGAGAGGAATATATGGAAAAAAGAGTACGGAAACCGTTTCTGTCATGAGGGTGGTGGATGAGCCAGAAATATTGGCAATGGCTGGCCAAGTGTTAGCAATGCAGACTCTCAGGCTCAATTCCTATGACCTTTGGGAGCTTGAGAAGTACTGGTCTAGAGTGCAGGATCCTGGGCTTCAATCCTGGCTCTGATTTGTGGGCTGTGACCTTGGTCCTGTCACTGGTCTTCTCTGGGAATTGATCAGCAATGATGCAGTGGGTCCCAGTGACAGTTCCAGCTTTAAGGAGTGTGTGTGTGTGTGTGTGTGTGTGTGTGTGTGTGTGTGTGAATTCTAGAAAATACTGTGAAAGCAGCAATTATTTTCCAAACTGACTACCACATCCCTGCTCCGACTATTAGAAGTCTGTCCTCAATCCTGTGGCTAACAGAGAAGATCAATGGAAACCACAATGCTGCACAGGAAGAAGATCAGCAGGGAAGTAGCCCCACACACTTGCACTGCTGGTCTAGCTTGGGTGTCATAAAGGGAGGTCAAAAGAGGCTCTCTTCTGTTAACCTTCCACTGATAATCTTGCTTCCATTTCATGAAAAGAAAAAGAAAAAAAGACAACACAAGGACCAGGTCCAGAGACACATAATTCCCCCAGGGCTTCCCTGGCTGCCAGATGAGGATAATCAACTGTGTGTGCATGTATGCATGCACATGTAATCCGTGTGTGTGTGTGTGTGTATGCGTGTGTGTGTGTTTTCGGGACGAGGGGCTGGTTAAGAGTGACAGTGATTTACAGCCTAAAAATCTTGATTAAGAGAAAAGCTTTAGCTGTCTGGTGAGATGGAAGGCAATGGCTGCATTCCATTTCCCAAATAGCTTCCCCATTGTGTACAGTCCCTATGGAAAGACTATAAAAATGTGTCTGAACAGACTCTTGACTGATGGGTAAGTGGGCCTTGTGATTTTACAGTGAAATCATGGCTCTATCACCTAGAGACTCAATCGTTAGCCTGGAAAAACCCTCTCCTTTTTTTCTGAGATGAGACCTGTTGGAGAAGCAGGGGAGGTATGGGACAGTGGGAGCAGACCCCCACCTGGGCCACTGCATTGAGCACAGGGACTTTGTCCCCCACACCACAGTTGCCCTCATGGAACCTGAGTCATGAGATTTCCACAAAGGCTGGACAGACTCTCAGAAATGGAGGAAAGAATGAAGCCCCAGAAAAACCAAGAACAATACAGTTCATAAGGAGAAGCAGAGGATGGGGAGTGAGGAGACAGGGGCTTTAATTCTAACTCTGCTTCTAACTTCTGTGGAACCCTGGCAAGTCCTTTTCCGGATTGCTGTTTCTCTATTTATGGACAACGAGAACTAGAAATTGTTGAGTGCTAACTATGAAAAGGTATTGTTCATATGCTAGACATTTAGTATAACTAGGACAGTGTCTCTTGTGTTTAAATAGCATCCAAATGCATATTTCTATCTCCAGATCAGATCTCTTCTTTGACTTTGAGTTATGGACCTGTAGTGAATTCTTACAATTTTATGGTTCTGTGGCTTCTGTTTTGAATATAACATTATCATAGCAGAAGCAGAGTTCGGTCAGCCTTGATACAGCCTGTGGCTCTGTACCTCCTTCCAGATTCTCAATGTGGTTGATTCAGATATCTGCCAGTTATTCAGAGGTCAGGAAGGGCATCGCAAAGGTGGATGCCTTGGCATCAGAAGCAGAACACCATATCCAAATAGCTCAAGGCTGTGGACCGAGCTAAGAACTTATGGGCATCTTTTCTGCCTAGCAGACTGGACTCCTGCTTTCTTGTCACTTCTTTTAAATGGATCATTTGAGCACTTACAAATGAATTTAAAGTAACCCACACTATATTCCCCAGTACACACTGAAGATGCTGGGGAGAACACAGAGTTGGGCTCCAGCATCAGAGCAAAGGCCAGGTAGATATGACACAGACACACGTCAGATAAGAGTCATAAGCATATCTGCTGGTGTAAGCAAGCTTCGTATGAGAGGAGCCTCCTGGCCATGGGTGAGACAACTAGGCATTATTCATCCACCAAGTAAAAGTATCCTGTGGAAGGCACACTATAAACACATACTCAGGCCTCTTCATTTCCCAGTAGGACACAGTTGCTAGCCACAGGGGCTGTGGGGCATCAGTGTAGCAGGGGCCTTTTAATAAAGGGGCCAAGTGCCCTTTTTCCATTTCTACTTGAACCAGAATAGTAGCCTTTATCTCCTTCACTCAACCCTGACCCTCCCTGACATCCCTTGACTCAGTAAATGATAACTTGATTTGCCTCACTATTCAGACTAAATAATTTGTAATCATCTCTTCCTCTATTGTTTCTCACATCGAATAACCAATAGCAAATTCTCTCAAACCTATACCTAAAATCATCTGGAGTCTGATGATATCTCTCTGTTTTCTTCTCATAGCTCCATGGTCCAAAAAACTACTAACTCCTGCCTAGATTAGAGCAACAGGATGCTTGAACACCCCCTAAATTGACTTACACCCTAACCAGAGAAAGCCTGTTAAAATGCTGGTCAGACCACATGATTCTTTCCCTGTGAATGTTCCAGTAACTTTCTGTCTCATTCAGAGTGAAATCCAAAGTCCCTATCATCATTTATAATGCCTAAAATCACCCTCAGTTCCCGTCTATTCCTTGGGTTGCACCTCTTACTCCTCTCTTCTCTTTCTTCTGACTGACCATCAGGCACCTTCTACCAGCATGGAACAAATGACTCCCTTGTGGGCTCCCGCCACAAAGCACTGAACCTTGTAAATCCCCTGCCTAGAACGCTCTCTCTCAGACATTGGCATGGTTACCCCTGTTCTTACCTTGAGGCACTTGCTCCAATACACCTCAGAGGAACCTTCCCTGTCCTCTCTCTATAAGGGCAGCTCCTTCCCCACCTCCAGCTTAGCATTCCACATGCTTGTCATCTGTCCCCTCTCCCATAGCAGTAACTATACTTACTTATTCATTTTTGTTATTGTATCACTGTTCAATACAACCTGAAACAGTACTGGGATTGTTCTATACCTATATTGTACAAGAAGGTAGCCACTAGTCATATGAGGTTATGGAACACTGGAGATACAAATATTTTGTTTTAATTAATTAAAAATATACACAAATGGCTTATGGCTACCATATTAGACCATGCAGATTCAGTGCCACTATATACACAATAGAATGCAAGCTACATTAGACAGAGATTCTGCTTATTTTGTTTATGGCTGTATCCTTAATGTCTAAAAATATGCCTAGCTACTCAAGCAATACCTATTGAATGGAGGAGTACATGAATAAATGAATCCACTGGGAACTTTCCATGCATTATCTCACTCAGTCTCAACAACGGATTTGTAGGTTAGGTGCTGTTTTCATTCTCTGGTATTCAGAAATACACAGTGTCTTGCTAGAGAAGACCCAGTGGTGTCTGATAACTTTTTGACACTTTGCTAGAGTGCAGTTGGAGTATATGTTCTCTGTGTTCTTTTCCAACTGTGAGATTCCTTTGTTCTCTAGGAGTTCCTTCCTTTACCTGGAAATGGCAACACATGACTTAAACATCAGTTGCACCGACGGATCTTTACATCACCAACGTCCTTGTCAACGGCTCAGAATCAATGTTGTTTTTTAGGCAGAAGTAACTCAGACGCTCCTTCAGCCCACGTTATCTCCCACCTTCTTCTCCCCAGGCCCAGCCCCACATGGCTCACCAGTCTCTGGGTCGCAGAGCTGCTCACAAGCATCTGTTGTCCTTTGGCCACAGAGGTCCCTCACCCATGGGGAGGTGGCATTGATCTGGTAATACAGGGACAGCTTGGCTGGATTTAACCAATCAGAGATGTCCAGGTAGCTCCCTTCACTCACGACAAAGCTGCTTCCTGCAGGAGAACAGAGAACAAGATAGCTATTTTCTCCTCAATTTAAGAATATCACAGCTGATGCTTCAGAAAAACAGTGCAGATAAGTCCCATTCCCTGATCTCACTCATCTTAAAGCATTTACGCAGCCTTTACGTTGTGCCAATGTGATTCTGACATCAACAGAGGCAGAGGCAAATCAGATGTGAGAGAGAATTCAGCCCAGTGGGGAGTAGTAGGTTCTCAGAGCTGAGAAGGATGAGGGTTCACATCTTGAATTTGCCTTTGCCCACTGCTAGCTTTGTGTAAGTCACTTGGTGCCTCCGGGCCTCAGTGACTTCATCTGTAAATGCACATAGTAATGAGACTCACCTCAGCTGTGAGAGTAAAATAAATTAATGTAGATAAAGTGCTTAGCCAGCACCTGGCTTGTTCTAGTAAATAATGATTACAGGTTAAATTTCCAAAGATGAAAAGGCCAATGTCCCCGTCACATAAGCATCCCCTCTGCAAGAACAGTCCCTGATGCCCACAGGGACCAAGTCGTGATATCCATGGGGAAAACTGCCTGAGTGTAAGGACAACAGCACCCAGGGCTCCTGCCTTCACTTGTGTTGTTTGATGGTTTTTCATTGTGTTTTCAATTTTTATTTTTTAGTGGTGCAGGAGAGAGAATCCAGGGACTCATGTCTTCTAGGCAAGCCTTCTACCACGGAGCTCTCCTAGCCCATTTTTTAATGCAGAGAAAGGAGGGGGGAGAGATAGATAAAGACACAGATAAAGAGAGAAGCAAAGTTTTAGAGAAATTTCCAGCACCTCTAAGGAAAAATGCAGCACCCACATGGTAAGAAATGCCTTGATATTGTACAACAATAGAGAGAGGTGGGTTTGGGATCAAAGGGATCCTGCAGGCTCCCTCAGAATGGATCAGCTGTGAAGTAGCTGCAGCCAGCTCTTGCCCCTGGGGACTAAAAGCCAGTGTTACCAGATCAGATATTCTGCAGGGCAGGTTGAAGACTCAAATTTTTAATGTAATCAGGCAGTTTTACCAATGACTTAAATTTGTTCCTAAAAACTCGCATAGGACAAACAAAAACTTCTAGCTGTGCAAACTTTGCTCTAAATGTTCCTCATTAATTCATTTAAAGAGGGGACCATATACATATACCTATCTGCATGTGTAATTACTCATATATATAAGAAACATATACTGTATATTCTGCATATTTGCACACACATACATTACACATGCACACTCAACTTTGGGGAGACAAAAAACAGAAGACTATTTAAAGTGGACGTGTATGGATTGTAAATGGTGAGTGCATATGGTAGCAATACAGCAAAGGCTGAATTTCATGGGTGAAAAAAAATGAGTGCACGTAGGACTTATCTTGACAAAGCTGGACTTTAAGGGAGGTTGTGGATTCATAGCAGATCTAGAAAACTCCACCATGGAGACATGAAATCAATCATGTTTCATAATTAACATGACTCAGCTTCTCTCCTGTGTCTGCTTCTCTAATACCTCACTATCAACCAAATTTATTTTTTCCAGAGATACAATCGAAATTCCCCAACGAGGACCTCTGTGAATAAGCATTGTATGGGGTTTTACAGAGATCTCTCTGTGAGGTCATATCAGACTCTGATCCTGACCTATGGGTGGACTTGTCCTAGCTCAGGTGACCTGCTGTGGTCCCATGGGCAATGGCCAGCGGGCAGGGGGATCACATCAGACCATGCCTGGCTGCCTGAGCATCTAAGGCTGTGGGTGGAGAAGTTTCCCTGAAAAGAAAAAGAGCATAGCAGGCTATTATCTTTCCTAACTCACCACAAATGTGAGCATTTCTATCACTCTGGAGAGCAAGTTCCTCAGTAAAAAACACAGTGGACCACATGATTTTTTGTGTGGATGCAAGAGACACCTATGTAAATCAGCAGGAGGAGATAGCATCAGGCTCTGAGATAAGAAAAGGACCACATTTGATGTTGGTCCTAAAGTCCCCGGCAGCCAAAGCAAAGGAAGGATGGAGTCTGCTGGACTCCATATTTCAAATTTCTGGCAAGCAAAGATATGCAAATCTATCTGCAAAGCCATATTTCCCCCACTGGAACTAAGCCCAAGCAGAAACATGTCACATGGGTCCTCAAGTAAGGCACGGAACATCAGTATCAACTACAGATTTTTCTTTTAAAAAGCACAGTCATGCTGTTTAAATGGTAATTCTTTATTTATTCTCACTAAAGACTGAGGGATGGATATTGAATTGTGTCCCAGGCCTGAGTTTGGTTAATCCTTCTACTGCAGGAGAGCTACACAGTTCAGTAATAAAGAGGACAGTGGGAAAGATATGAGTTCAGATCCTCATTCCGTTACTCACTAGATCTATAAGCTTGGGGAAGAGAAGAAACCCTCAGTTACTACATATGAAAATCATGGATACCTAGTCCCCTTCATATGGTCAACATCAAGATTAAATCAGACAGTACATTCATCTTAGGTCAGAAAATAAGCTGGAAGGCAGAGACTGGCATGCAGGAAGTTTAGGAGGCACAATCTTTAAAGGGGATGAGCGCAGTGGGACTGGGCAAGGTGAGAAGCAAAAACTGTCATGTGATTGATGCAAAGGCCTCCACTGATCCCATGGGGACCTCTGATGTGGGAATGGTCCTTCCCAGTTGTTTCCAATCAAGTTAGGCTTTGATGCCTTCACACTCTCCAGTCATAGGCTCTAGGGGGAATAATCTCAGGTTGAATAACCTTGGAAATAACCTTGGATCAAGAGGTACTTTTCCACAGTGGACATTTCTTCATTAAGGGCTTAGCTGAGAGTGGTCAAACACCAACATTCCTGGAAGGTGGGGGAAAGAGCATCTTGATCTTAGCGTGGGCTAGAGATTGGGGTGCAGCATCTTAATATCCACAACAATAGGTAGTCCCAGGAATAGTGTGGAATCCCAACTAACCAGAGCCATTTTGGTTATTATTTGAATTTCTTATGAACTTGGAATCTCTAACTGCAATATTGACAAATTTCCAATACGACAAATGAGATTCCTTAGAAAGCACTGGCTTGGCAGTAGGTGCAACAGATTAAATGTTTGTCCCTCCCCCACCCCAAAGTCATATACTGAAATTAAATCCTCAATATGATGGTACTTGGAGATGATTAGGTCATGAATAGATTTAATGCCCATACAAAGAGACCCCAGGAATCTCCCTTGCTTCTTCCACCATGTGAGAGCACAGTGAGAAAATGGTCTTCTATGAATCAGGAAGCAACATTCACCAGAAACCTAATCTGCCAGCACGCTGACCTGGGATTTCCCAGCCCCTAGAACTGTGATATATAAATTTCTATTGTGATGAGGTGTCCATATGGTATTCTTTTATAGCAGCATGAATGAACTAAGTCAGTAGATTAGTCTTAAGTTCTTTAAAAAGATACTATACAGAAATATTGTTATGGCTTGTACCTAGATGTTCACTCCAAACCCTCATGTACTCATTGGTGGGGCTTTTTGGAGATGGTTGGATCTAGGGTGTGTGGATATGGATTATGCATGTGTGATAATTGGATCAGTCCTTGACTGGATTAGCATAGTTCTGGGTATGGGTGAATGGATTTACTGAAGACAGAAAGCCTACCTACCATGGAAGTGAGTGGCACTAACCAATAGGGTAGTAGCATGAATGGAATAAAAAAGGAAAGGGAGTCTTGCTTCTGCTGCTTTCTGCTTATCCTGCCATGGACTGTTTCTCCTGTGCCATGCCTCTCTGCCATTCCATCCTGCCTTGGAGTCAGCTTACTATGGACTGAAAGCTCTACAAACTGTGAGCTAAAGTAAACATTTCCTCTCTTAACTTGTGGGTATTGGGTATTTTGTCCCAGCAAGGAGAAAGTAATTAAGACAGATGTACAATTGGTTTAATGGCAGAGGAGAGCTATTCTCCTTTAAGAGTCCTTTCTCTCCATCCCCAGGATGGATGTATTACCCATCCATTCACTTAGTCCTTATAATAGCCTCTTAAACTGGGTATTTCCCTATTTTACAGAAGGACAGCATGAGGTTCAGAGAGAAATTGATCTGGCCAGATTTGCACAATTTGTAGGTTAATGAAAGTATCAACTGAAGCCTGGTTCTATGAGCCAACAAAGCTAGAAACTTCATATTATTCCAGGACGGCTTGAGAATTAGGAACTTTGGCAGGGTTGTTATTTGTGGTCCTTTCATTCGCTTTCCAGTAGCCTGTGCATTCCTCTACAGCGCAGTATTTCAGGGTCTTTGTTTTCTCTGATAGACTATGAGTTACTACACAGACTAGGTCATAACCCATTAGTCCTTGTCAATCCAGATCTCAGTAAAATGCCTGGGAGTTTGGTGAATGAGTTTAGTGAATATCAAGTGCATTAACAAAATCAAAGCTCCATATTTGACTAGCAGGAAGTGCAACTCATTTTATCATGGGATTGTGAAGAAAGAATGACTCCACACTGATGCCACACATAATATCTTTTTCATTGTAAAAGCTAGAAAACAATTATAGGCCTTTAGAATCTGCCCAGTTCTAAACTGAAATTTGAACACACTATATTCACTTTGAAGTTCTTATTCACCCCTTGTGCTTGGGATGTAGATGACTAAAGCAGAAACTTGGTAAAAGGGCTCCATGTGGATCAGCAAGGAGATACTCCAGTGACATGTCATGTCATTCAGAAAGGGATGATTTGTGCCAAATTGACTGTGTTCATTTAACCAACATTTGGCAATCTCCTCCCTGTGTAAGAAATAGGCATAGAGACTGAGAAATGGATGAATCCAGTGAGAATATTATGGACTAAATAGGGGACATCAAATGTGTGTACAGAGATTCATAATACAAAGCCGAGTGTGATGAGGACTGCCTGGAAGGGCTGGGCATTGTCTTTGAATGTAAGGGAAATCAAAGAGGGAGCTTAGAGAGGAAGTCTTGAGGGTTGGCTTTGAAGTTGGATCTTGGAAAATGTGGAGAACAA